TCGCCCCAAAAGGGGGGGCGACGCGCGCGGTCAGGCATCTCGTGCTATGTGCTCGGTGGCGGGCGCTTTCCGACCATGCCGCAGGGGTAACGACGTGCTACACGACGGCTGCGCCATGGTAGATCTGGTCGGACGCACGCCCCCCACGAGGACACGGTCTCAGTATGTCCCTTCGGCGTCACACTGGGGCCCCACGACGAGGCCGCGGTCGCGCGCTCACCCGGAACCTCGACGGCCAGGCTCTCCACGCAGGGGGGGAGTGTTCGCGACAGCCCAGGGCGCCATGCGGACAAGGAGGTGGCCGTCGCTCCGCAAAGTTGGGCTGCCACCTCTCATGGCCCCAGTTTCGCAGAGCGGATTTCTATCGAACAAAAATATGCAAAGATTTTGGATTGTCTTGTGAATTGCATGCTGGGTTCCGTTGTAAAGTCGGAGCATGAGACTTGAACGATCCACGTGAAAGTCATTACGCTTTTCGCTCGCCGTTTTGTGGTGTTTGATTTGCAGGCGCCAGCGCAAGTTTTCACAGCAGCCCGCCTGCAAGACCAGAACCATGACATCTCCCTGGGGATAGTCCCCTAGGACAAGGAGGCCCACTACTTCGCCAAGTACGCGATCTGCCAGGATGCGACCCTCGTGCTGGTGGACGCCCCCTGGGAAGAGAACTCAGGGGGAGCTCCGCGGGCGTCAGGAGCGGTGGCAAACCCAAACAGAAGTTGGGGGCGTCCACGCTTTTCACCATCCGCCACCGTGATAACTAGTTTTCTAGATTCGCTCTGTCGGGAGCTGTGCTCGGGGGGGATTTCCGAGTGCTAGGGCTTTTCTTTTCTTTCCCTCCTCCTCCTCCTCCTCCTCCTCCTCTTCCTCCTTGGCATCTGAGGGCGAGGCTCTGAATGTGTTGTCATTCGTGGTTTCACTTGGTCGCCCCAGCTTTGGGCAAATGCCCGGGCAATGATTGTCACGGATAGCACTTGTCCCGGCCGCGTGGCCGATGCAGGCATGTTCTCATTCAGGATGATACGTTTTATGGGAATTCGTATCTTCAGGCAGGTGTGTTCTTCTCCTTCCTTCCTCGCTCCCCCCTCTGCCCGAGTCCGGGGCTATTGCAGGTTTTTGCCTTCATCTCTGCACTGCGGCCGGCTCTCGTCGCGCGTTCATTCCCCTCATCTTTCCTCTTTCTCCTCCCAAAATAGCGCTGGGGGGGAAACAAAAAATAAGTTGGGGGCGTCCACGCCCGAGACCACGGGGACCGCGCGGCCCGCGCCCGCAAGGTGCTGGCAGCTTGGAGGTGGGACGGTGCGCGGGGAGCACAGCTTCTGGAACACCTCGCCGGAAACAGATGGGGTCGCCTCGCTCCCCTGGAGGGCGCACTCTTCCCACTGGAGACGGTGGAAAAGGATGATCTCACTACTGAGGGTGGGGGGGAGTCGTCTGGGGCGGCTTCCTCGTCCCAGGAGACTACGGCGGGTTGGGGGGCCGCCCCCTCTACGCCGACGGGAAACTTCACTCTCGGGGGCAGGCCTACCCGATCTACAGCACAAGGGGCAGCTGAAGCTGGGCCCTGGCCTGGTGACGGGCTACGGGGAGATGCCCATCGCCGACCAAACCAGGGGGGTGTGGGGGGGGGGGGCATCGCATGCGCGCAGGCTGGGGCCCGACGAAGCCTGGCGCATGGCGGACGGAACCTTATAAGAAGCAAAGGGAAGGCCTGTGGGGGCGGAACCGTCGGGCGGATGGGGCCCCACGGGCGCGGACGCCCTCCGCCGCCTGGCTCGGTCCAGCGACGGACGCCTTGGAGAAGAGGCGGGCGCTGGGGCGGCTCGCATCTTCCAGCAGTTCTCTTTGGCCACTCGTAGGGCCACGGCGCGGGCTGTACTGCGTAGGCGCACAGAGCCCCCCGACTGTGGGGGCGCGCTGTCCGCTGCTCTCAACCTGCTGGCGGCTCCGGGCGACGACGACGCCTAGCATTCCTCGTCCCCCTCCTCCGTTCTTCCTCCTCCCTCCCTCGTCTTCCCAGAGACTTGGAGTCGTGATGTTTTGCGGCGCGGTGCCCTGTCCGAGGTGCCCTGGCGGGATAGCGCCCCCCGCCAGGGACCGGCAACAAATCTCCCTCCGATGGGCACCGCGCCCGCGCCAGAGTTTTTGTCATCTGCCCCTCCTGCCCGGCCATATTGTTTTCGGCGTGTGTTTCTCCCTCCTTGTCCCCCCCCTTTCCTTCTTTTCTCCCGCTCCTTGCCTCCCCAGGCGGGCGCGCGCGCCTAGGGCCTAGGGTCGACGGCTCAGGTCCCACGGCCGCGCGCCCGCTTCCTCCGCCTTCTGGTTCCTCTCCCCTCCTCCCCCTCTCTCCCCGTCCTGGGTATCCTCCCTAATCGTCAGGCGTCCTTGCCCGCGCTCGGCGTTTCACCCCCCCCTTCCCACAAGCGGTGTGCAGTCGGGAGAGCAGGGATTGGCATTCCTGTAGAGTCCCGTGGTTGTCACATGCGCCAGTCTTAGAATATGGGCCAGGGGATGGACGTCGCTACCCTCCTCTGGGGCGCCGCGCGTTCGGCCCCCCAAACATCGCCCTCCGGATCACCCGCGCGGCCGCCTGCACGCAGCGGGCCGAGGCGCCCGAGGATCAGGCGCGAGCGGGGGTGGGCCTGGACCTGGACCTGGACCAGCTCAGCTCCGCGTGGCCCAAGGCCTGGAAGAGGAACCCACGGGACACGAGGGTGAGCCCGTGGCGGCAGGGCTGGAGCCTCCAGCGGGGGAAGGCCCGACAAGGACTGGGGCAGGGAAAGCAGGTGCAAGTGCGGGCCCCCCGAAGAAGACGGGCACCGACTGGCAGAGCCGCCCACGGGCCTAGCCCAGAGGATCCGGAGGGAAGAGGAAGAAGGCGGCGGAAGGGCCTTCTGGAAATGGGCCCGGAAGCTGGGCCCCCCAGGGGAAGCCCAGCCCAAACGATCCCGAGCGGATCCACAGGCAAATGTCGGGAACGATAGGTCCGCGGAGAAGCGAGAGAGAATCCGCTTCAAATACTGCTTGGGGAGCCTGGCCACAGGAACCAGGGACACCTACGCCACAGGATGGAGGCAGTGGATTCTTTTAGCGCGCGCCAGGAACACGGTACCCTATCTGGCAGGGCTGGACGTGCGCGGGCGGCTGGAGGACGAGGATGCGCTGCTCGACCACGCGGTACGTATGGCCCACTACATGGCCCGATCGGAGGGAGCGAGCCGCCCCAAGCTGATGGCGGTCCGCTACCACCACCTTCTGGCCAGCTACCCCGACCCCCTGGAGCTGGCTGCGCGCCTGTGGCTGGCGCTGGCGGGAGTCAAACGCGTAAGCGTGAAACCGAGGCGTAATGTGCCGGTCACCAAAGAAATGCCGGCCGTGCTGAGGAAGATGCTGCTAAACATGGGGGAAGTAACTAGAAGACGCCTCGCGGTGGGCGGTCATTTCGGTGGGGGGGGGCCAGCAAGCTCCGGGCGCAGGGCAGAGTTCCTTTCGGGAGCGAAGTAGCCCCAAGGGCAGAAAAGATGGCACGCGGGTCTTCCGAGGGCGCCGACGAGGTGAAAGGAAGCAAGACCGGTAAGCATAACTTCGGCTGCTGTTGGAACCGCTACACCACTACCAGAGGGCACCAGGGCAAAAGCGAGAGCTCGCCACCCAGGTGGACCGGACACGAACGGGCACTCGCGACTTCATCGTGCACCAGCCACAGAGCACCATCCATAGGGCACCTGGGCAGGAACGATAGCTCGACATTTTTTTCGCGCACCAGCCATCGAGCACCACCTGGAGACAGGGCAAGAACATAACTTACATCTTCAGTTCGTGCAAATCAGATCCCCTTGGTGTATGCGCTCGTAGGAGAAAACGCCGCAAGTAAGAACAACGGACAAAGGGCCCGACACGCGCCAGCCACGGCACATCGCGGTGGTGGATCCAGGATTCGAGCTTCTGATCACCATGATATTCCCCCCCTCCTCTTCCCTCCTTCTCCCTCCTCGTCGGCAGGAGCCCGCGAGGATTGAGAATCACGGCTCGAGGATCGAGGATTCTTGCCGTAAGTTTTGATCTCTTTCACAATTGCACTTCTGCAGCTGTCTTTTTACAGTCTACTCTTGTTTTCCCTGGGTTTTCGTTATTGGCTTTGGCAGTATACCATCCTGGGCATCCACCACGGCTTTGGCATTTCGCCAACGTTCGACTGCTGACAATGTCGTAGGCGTCGTCATTCATGGTCCCTGCCAGCTTCCCCCGTGCAGTCGTTGTCATGTTGACTAGGTGTCTCCAAGGCGCTACTGTCTCTCGTCATCATTCATGCTCGGAGTGAAAAGGAAACATGAGACTGAGGCGGAGGAAGACGAAGAGGGCGAGGAGGATGGCACTGATGAGGACGGGGAACGGGCGAGGTTGAGGAGGGCAATAAGGACAATGTTGGCGATGACGACGCCGATGGTGTTGATGATGACGTTTAAGATGACACTGTCGATGCTGGTGTTCTTGAGGGCGTACGTACCGATGGTGAGGATGAGGATATGAATCGATAGCCGTGGTGTTGATAAAGATGTTCAGTTTGACGACGATGATATTGACGGTTATGACGGTGATGCAGTCGGAAAACAGGAAGGGAGAAAGGTCACGATAATGATGATGAGAAACGCAGGATTGCGGTTGTGTATTATCTGGGGATGCGGATGAGAACGAGGATGACGAGGGGGGAAGAGGAATATGGCGGAAAGAAATAAGAAGACGGGGCGTGGGGTGGTGGTGATGAGGGTTGTGACGTTGATGATGCCGACAGCGATCATGATGCTGACGGTGTGGATGATGATTGTGGTGGTGGTGGTGGTACGTGCCAGTGATTGTGATTGTGATCAGGAGTTAGAGGAGGAGGAGAAGGAGGTGGAGGAGGAGGCAGGGGAAGAGAAGGAAGAGAAAGAGTAGGAGGAGGCGATGGCGGGAATAGGGGGGAGGTGCCAGGGGAGGAGCATGCCGCCCCGCTTCTTGTGGAGGGGTAGGCTTGGCCGCGTCCCCCTCGGCGTCGAAGAAGATCGACATGGCAGTCCCCCCGACGCCGCTTCCGAAGAGCAATAAGGAGGAGGGGGGGAGGAGGAAGGGGAGAAAAGGAAGGAACGATTGAGGAATGAGGACAGAGGATGAGGATGAAGATGAGTAGGAGGAACATGAGGAAGAGAAGGAGGAGGAGGAGGAGGAGGAGGAGGAGGAGGAGGAGGACCAGTGTGAACCTAAAAGACTTCCCAACGATGTTGCCACAACCCCTCCAAGTTCCCTCTTCACAGGCTCCTATACGGATCTATGTTCACTGCGGGAAGGGTCCCGTTGGATGACAACCGTTTGGAAATCTTCAACCGTGCCAGAGCACCGTTCTTGGGATTTCAACGCCGCGAATCAACATGACCGCTCAGACCTGACGACCCTACATCGTGCCAGAACATAGTTCCTGGGACGCCAGCATCGCGAATCCACGTGACTGCCGCGACCTGACATCCCTAAACCGTGCCGAAGCACTATGTCTGGGGAGGCATTCGATTCCATGACACTGTTGTAGAATGGTAAGACGAATGTGCGCGGCGCCAATGCGAGAATCACATGTTGAAAAAGGAGCCGCCTTTCATCCGTGAAGCTCTTGAAATGCGCTATGACGAATGGGCGCGGCGCTTCGGCGAGGGCCACATTTCGAAAACGGCCCGCCCTCCACCCGTGAATCCCTTGCAAATGTTAAGACGAATGTGCGCGGCGCTAAGGCGAGAGCCACATGTTGAACAAGTCCCGCCCTCCACCCGTAAAGTTTGTACAGGCTGAGAGCCACACCTTGAACACCACCTGCCCTCCATCCGTCAGACTGGTCCACATGCCGAGAATGGTGATGATGTCTCAGGCGAAGCGCCTGGCCCACCCCACGGACCCGTCTTGGGGTGCGACGAGGAGGAGTTACTTGTAAGGAAGAGGGATGGGGGAGGAGGAGGAGGAGGAGGAAGAGGAGGAGGAGGAGGAGGAGGAGGAGGAGAAGGGGGAGGGGGAGGAGGAGGACAGCGGGGGAATCCTTTGTCCACCAAGTCTGCACGCCCTTATCATGTAAGCCGCTGACGGCAGCACGTTTGGCCAGGGCTGCTTTTGGCGAAGCTCGGAGCAGTTAAACCTCTTTCAAGACGGCCTACACGGCCAGGGTTTTGTTCCCCAGGCCTCTGGTCCTGGCCTGGCCGTTGGGTTTGTTCCTGCGCCTGCAGGTGGGTGAGCTTTGCCCTGTGGACCTCGTTTCTGGGGACAGAGGACACAGATGAGGAGCAAAGGGGAATGAGGAGGAGGATGTTGAGGATGTGGAGATGAAAATGGGAGGAGTGGGCGGAGGATGACGACGTGGAAGAGGAGGAGACGGAAGAGGAGGAGAATACGGAAGAGGCGGAAGATGATAACCATCTCCTATGGTTGTTTTCGATGAGGAGGCCCAGCTGGCGTGATGTTGTGGAGCGGGTTCGCAGTCAAGACCACTCCAGGAAGCCTGTCCGCGCAATGCCGAACGTCCGTCATCGTTGCTCACCGCTCGAAGTGCGAGGATCCGCAGACTTGCACTGGGAAGCTGCGAGGCCCTGCCAGCGACGCTGCGCGTGCCAGCAACACTGTCCGCAAAAACATGGGCTTCCCACGTCGTCAGGTGGTGGCCCTCGTCACGCGCCAGTTCGAACAGATACTCCCATTCCTCCTGCGCTTGGGGCGGAATGCAAGGATCAGGCTCGACCCTGGGTGCCGACTTTGTCTTCAGGTCACCAGACGTTTGAGAGGTCGATGGCATTCAGACTTGTTGATGTCATACACGTTGCGGGTTGGGATGCCCGGTGGTGCCCTTGAGCTATATGTTTGCCCTGCTGCCAGGGTGGATGCTGTAAGACAGCCTCAGCAGCCCTGCGTTTGCAAAAACAAGTCAACCCATGTCAGCCCCAGTGACAAGGCGCGAAGCACTATGGGCTGCCGCTTGGCAGCGTGAGGCTGACAACGTTGCTGCAGGTCAGCGGAGGCAGACTCGGCTTGCAAGCACCGTTCATTTCCATGCTGGATGGCCTCGATGAGATTGGCACAATCGGTGTTCAGGAACTTGAGCTTAGCGTGTCGCGCCGCCGGTTCTGGCCAACCACGCTTCGACGCGACACGTTATCCATTTCCCGCTCCCCAGGCGTCAACTTCCCGAGCCTTTCCCTGCCTCCCGCCCCGCGGAGTGGAGTGACACGCTATCCGCTTGCATGGAATAGCGCGTCGCCAGGGCCGACGCCACGACAAGCAAAGCAAAACAATGCGACAGGAGCCTTCTGGCTCAGGCCGCCTGCACACGGCCGCCGCCTCTGTCCGCGCGCGCCAGCGATGCTGCCCCTGGAGGCGGCGGAGGCGGGGGACCTCGAGGCCGCCCTGCTGGGCTCGGGGAACAAGTGGCATGAACATCCTAGCTGCGTGCTGTACACGTGGGGGATGATGTCGCCCACGGGAGTCCGCTTGGCAATCCAGATAGCTCCAGCATGGCCTCGTAGTCGTCGTTGATGCGGTTGTAGAAGTTGTTCCTCATCTCGGTGAGCATCCTGTTGCCCTCTCTGTGGGGGTTGGGGCTGAGGTGGGACAGGAGGCTGTGGATGTCCTCCACCGCTGCGCTCATGCAGCCGAATATACGAGGATGTTGGTTGGCTCCACCCAGGCGGCTGGCTCTGGAGGTGGCTGCCGTGCGATGGTGGCGGCCTCGCGGGGCGGGGTCCTGTTGGTGGCAGTGTGGTATACCTCGATGTGGTCTTCGTATACGACGTCAGCTGGTGGATTACAGCTCGTGCCTGCATGTTGGGCCATTGAGGATTGCCAGTGGAAGGTGGTCCCAGCTGAAATTCGTATCGCTCGTGGATCTCATTGAAGTGGTTCATGGGGGCCCTGTGCTCCGTCTTGTAGTTCTGCAGGGCGGTAAGCTCCTCGTCGGTTACTTCCATGAGCGGGACGAGGTCGCCGTTGGGGTCTTTTTTAGCTGCGTGGAGTCCAGCGCGAGTCTGCGGTGTCAGGTGGAAGTTCTGTTGCTCGAAGAGGAGGTTGTCACTGTGAGGGTGTATCGCCCTTGCTCCTTTGGTTGTCAAGGTGTCGGTGATGTAGAGGAGAAGCGGTAAAGCGTTGCTCGGTTCCTGAAGGTTGTTGTTCGCGTCCGTCGCGTGCAGCAGGTAGGAAACGCCGCGGCTCTTCGAGTGGATTGCCTTCCGTTCTGCTTCCTTTAGGTCGGTACGCTTGCGGACCTGGACGGTGAGAACCTTGTGAATATGTTCGACGTTGATCAGCTCGGCCCCGTGTGGCCCCGTCCGTGAGGGGACGAGGCATATCATGTCGGTCTCGGTAAGCTCTTTTGCCCGCGTCCACGGTCGTGCCGCGACTAGCGCGTCGCTCGGTGTCGCGTGCGTTGCCGTCGATGGATACTCTGGTCCACACGGCGGTGCGGTAGTGAGGTATGTGGGTCGGTCTTGTTGAATAGTGGCCGTCCATGTTGTCAATGTTGATGGCTGTGCCGTTCCTGTCGAAGAAGTTGCGGATCGCTTCGTTGGCTTTGTCTGGTGTGTTCCTCTTCCACACGAGGTGGGTCGCACCCAGGTGCGCGATCGTGTGGTGGTGATGGTCGAGCGTTTTCATCCGTCCTCTGGGCATGTTGGAGGGCACGTAGACTGCTCCGAGCTCCAGTGCAACGTAGGTGTACTCATTGACCAGGGTGTCTGAGTTGAGTTTTTGTTGCGACTCGTCGGTTGCTCGCGCTCCGGTTGAGCGAATCGTGGATCCAGCCGGACGTCCTCGGAAGGTATTCGTAGTCAAGTAACTCCACTCTTGATCGGATGTTTTGCCCGTATAAGACTCTCGGCTGATCTTCCTGGATTTCTGGAGCCGCGCTCGGTGCGATGTCTGGCCGCCCATGTTGTTCCACCTGTAGTGCGGCATTCCTGAGCGTCGGCGAGGAGACGTCCAGCAACTGTGCCAGCGCTTCTCGCAGCCGCGCTTAAGCGCGCCGCCGCCAAGACCGCCGCCGCCGAGCGCGACGCCGATCTCCTGGCCAAGGATGAGGTGTCCAGGCCGTCTTAAGGAGGTGTCCGCAGCCATCCTCGAAGAGCTCGCCATCTGGGCCGGGCACAAGTTCTTCCAACGGCGACCACTCAAGGGCGCCCGAAACGTCGTGGATTCCAGGCGCGTTTTCACGCGAATGCACTGGAAGGGCCCCGACGGCAAGACCGCGCGGATCATCCGGTGCCGCGTGGCGCTCAGAGCCGGGCGCGCCTCTCAGCGCGCGCTGTCCTCGGAGGCGGCGCGTCGCCCAGACTGGGTCTGCGTCGCCGCGGACGTCGAGGATGCATTCCTGCAGGGCGCGACGCATGCCGAGATACAGGAACGCAGCGAGGGGGGCACCTCGCGCGGTGAACTTCACCCTGCCGTCCGGCAGCGCAGCTGTCCTCGGGCAGGTGCCTGGCTACGATTCCTAGTGGAGGCCGAGTGCCTGCGCTGCGTCGGGCCAGGCGCGAGCTGCGAGTCTGCTATATGAATCTCGCCCAGGCCATGCGCTCGCTGGAGCGCAGCGCCAAACCCGCCGCCGGGAGGGGCCTGGAACTCGAGGCCGAGCATGGGGCGTCCGAGAATTCTGTCGCTTGCGATGCGAGGCGCGCGCCCGCGTTGCCCCGGCGCGTTGGCGATCTGAAGACCGCTAAACAAAATAAGCGCGTCGACAAGCACGTCGGCAACCTCGAGAGCAGGGGGGCTGCGACGACTTCACCAATTGCGGCGCCCACCAACGCCGCAGCGCCGACGGCGCTGTGGCGCTCGACCAGGACGAGCGCATCGACGCCCCGACGCCGGTCAGGCACGTCGACCTGGTCACAGCGAAGGCCGACGAGCCCGCGGGAGGTCAACTACGCGACTTCTTCGTCTCCTTGCTGGTAGCAGCTGTTTGCGCCCTGCTCGCCCAGCGCCACGCTGCAGCGTGCGATGCGGCCGTGCGACGGGCCAAGAACAAGCTGCTTATGCGACCCGATATGCAGCTCAATTCTG